GTTATTACTGTTTTTCTTATACATTTTATTGTTGGATGTAACTGGGACCTTGTGTACAGAATTTCGCTCCACCACATGTACCACATGAGGTGCGAATGACAATAAAAAAACTCTGACTCTGACATCATCATCATCATTTTTATATGAGGCTGTAATAATCTCCTCTCAAGTACAATTTGTACAAATATATGCATGCATGTCCAAAAAGGCAACTTGAGGCAAGTTTTATTAATGTTTGATAAGTTTTAAGGTTAGAATTAAATTCTGCTAACACAAAACATGTTTTTTTTTTTATTCCTAGCTTTAAAGTGGATATTAAAGTGATTAATTTAAGTGATTGTTTTTAAAGTTTTAATTAGTTAATTTTCAAATCATATATGTTTTTTTATGATTGTCTACTGTTGTACTGATAAATATCTCCTGGAGGGTAAACTATATCTTGACTGCAAGTATCAAGCTGTGAAATCCTTCGTTTTCTAGAACTGATAGTGGTTGGTCATTAATTGTGATGAAGTTTAACAACTTCTCGGTAAACATTTGAGCTCCGTGGCTTCAGCGATGTCTTCTTCTTGTTCAATCCAAAGCAAGCAGTCTGATTTCGGTCAGCCACACTCAGTCTGCCCCTCCTCAGAGACGGGCAGATTGAGCGCGGCTGGCCAGGGTCGAGTTGCCCGTTTCGGGTTGAGCAAGAGTAGTGCCCCTCTGAAGTCACGGAGCTCGAATGTCCAATAAAAAAGTAATTTTACCGCAGTTTAATGTGGTGCTATGGCTCTGCAGACATTGCATGTTGCCATCTTGTTTTGTGGTGTTTCTAGTGTAAAATACTTCCACACAGTGGACATGTTTAGATGAAAAGTTTGTTAGCCGTTAGCCACAGTGCTGCTAACTCTGTCCTCACATTGTAGCTGGCTGCAAACTATGAAATGGATTTCCTGAATGTGAGGTGGATCTTATTACTCTGGGTTCATGGGACACGCCTCCGTTTAGGAAATCCATTCCATAGTTTGAACCCAACATACATCATGGATCGAAAATCTCTGCAGGTTGGAGCAGAAAAATCCGATACGTAAATTATGCTGGTATCGGAGGCCCCTACTATGTATAAGACTGAGTTTGTTGCAGCTTCTCAGACAGAACAAGCCTTTTGGATAAAAGACGAAACTTTTCAACAAGAAGAATTCGTCCAGAGGACCTGACTCAACCTTGTTAGATTTATCTACCTGGATTACTGAGCATGCATCAGGGCACTTCTTTGCTATGACTTGAATTTAAAGAATAATAAAAAATTAAAAAAAAGTATAAAAACTACATGATTTATTGCTTCCGATTCTCTACTGT